CTGTAGCTGTTCCTGGATTGCTTCTCTCACTACTTAAACTTGGAGAATCATGTTAGGCTTTCATGTCTGCCCCAGACCTGACACTCAGATTCCTTTCCTTTCCAGAAGGCCTCTTGGAGTTGCAGCTACAGATTCTTCCATGGGCTGCTTCCTCTGGGCTGCCAAGGTCTAGGTCTCTGTAGCAAGGTGGCTGGGGGTTGGGAGAACTCAGAGCCTCACATCCTTCATGGACAGACCAGGCCTTACTTGGCAATTGGAATGGATTTCTCTGAGATGGTTCTGGGCTTCCAAGTGAGCTGTAGGCCCTGTGGTTCTCCTGATGTAAAATGTCTAATACCAGGCAATGCTTTAGATATTCTAGAGTGTTTTCAGACATGATTCCACTGTGACTATCATTAAAGTGTGCATGGTTCCCTTGGGAGGAACAGTGGCACTCCATCTCTCCAGGTGCATTCCAATAAAAGCATCTGGGAATGGCCAAATAACCTTGGCTGTCCTCTGGCCACCAAACTGGCAACTCTCTGGAAAGGCTGCTAAAGGCAGATGTCCTACCAGGGAAATGGGAACCAGATGTACTTAAGATGTACTTAATTTCAAAAGAAATTAATGGCAATAAGGCTCTGGGGTAAAAATATCTGTGTGTACTGAGCCTGCTCACTCAGCTTGCTTTCTATCTAAGGATCATTTAGGCTTAATTATAGAGTTCAGGCATTCATTGGGCTTTGATTAATTTTCTTTTCAGCTTGCAAAGTTTGTGAGTGTGGTGGGCCTTTGTGTGTGTGTGTGTGTGTGTGTGTGTGTGTGTTTACATCTTTCTTCACAACTCAGTTGGGAGCTGGCTCTAGCAATGTTTTAATTGTGCCCTCAGTTCTAACAAGCATGTTCAATATGCCAAGCAGGGCTTGGAAAGCCATTGTTTCTACTGCTTCCAGCTCTTGGGCTGATCCCGCTGTGCAGGTTGAAGGATGGTGGCAGGGCCTTGCTCAACTGGGACCTCAGCTGCAGTCTGCATACTTCCTCCCTGTTTTTGTATGTGTGGTGTTTAAGGGATTCTGAGACCAGGAGAGCAGATTTGCTATTCCTCTAATTACAAGTCCTGGGCTAAGAGCTGCTGAGTAACAGCCAGCTCCCCATGCTGCAGCTCTTGACAGAGCCAACCTTCCTGCAGATGACAAGGTTCTTTGCATAAGATAACAGTGTTCATACTCTCATTTTTAATGTATGCTTGATACACAGGTAAGGACTAGATGCTGTAGATGAAAGTGACTTGCTTTTTCTTTTTATGTATGTGTATTCTTTAGAGAGAAACAAACTATCGGCAACATAAAGAATAAGAGCAGTGAGGGATCTTGATCTGAAATCCTAGCTTCTGACACTTTCTGTTTGTGTGCCAATGGATATGTCACTTAACTTCACTGGTCTCAATTTTCTCTCAGTAAAATGTGAATAATAACAAGACAGTATTATACTTTTTCTAAGACTGTTTGGGGAGGAGGAAAATGCCTTGGGAAGCATTTTTGTAAAATATACTATAAATCTTAGTTCTTTTACAACTTAGAACTTAATTTGGCCTCTGAGGTCAAGGGCTCAAAAGAAGGCAGAAAAGGGGCTAGCCTTCAACTTCCAACAAGTTGGTGTCTGGGCCACAGAAATGACCTGAGGACATAATATACATGCAACAGAGAGCCCAGATTAAGGAGTCAACTTCAAAACAGTTTTTCCAGGTAAAAAAGAATCAGGAACATTCATTTTTAACATGCAAAAACAAGAGATTATCTCCTGTTTTTAATTTTTTTTTTATTTTTTATTTTTGGGTCCAGTCGTGGGGCCTGAACTCTGGGTCTGGGCGCTGTCCCTCAGTTCTTCAGCTCAAGGCTCTATCACTTGAGCCACAGCACCACTTCCAGCTTTTTTCTTTTTTCTTATGTGGTGCTGAGGAATCGAACCTAGGGCCTCATGCATGCAAGGCAAGCACTCTACTACTGAGCCACCTTCCCAGCCCTATCTCCTGTTTTTTAAATGGATAGTTCCAATTGTCTTTAACTTTTAGGCTAATTGGCTTGTGGGTGAATGCTTCAGGGATGATGACAATGTTTTGGCTGGAGACCAGAAGAGACTACAGATCTCAAGTAATGTGGCCATATTGTAAGATGGGATTTGGGAGATCCAGGGCCTTCTCTTGGCTTATTGCTGATCAGGTAAGTGCCCCTGAATAGACAACCTAATTTAAATGGATCTTAATTTCCTTTGAGATCTCAAAGGGACCTCACTTTAGAATTTAAGATCGTATGTAATTTTCAGGAATTCAAAGCAAAATACATAGAAATTCAAGATGCTGTGCCAAGAAACTGTATGTGTGTGGGAGTGTGTGTGCACGTGTGTATGCACACATACACACGTATATGTGTAGAATTCAAATATAGCCCTCAGGCTACCCGACTAAAATGTAAGGCACTGTGTGGGTCCCTTTGAAATGATAGGACTTGGTAAGTCAGACCCAATCAGAGGAAGGAGGGCTGAGAGCAGAATGCGGGTAACCCCAACAGAGATTTCAAGGTTAATTCTCTCTTGCAAGAATACCTTCTATTTGGCAATATCCTGACTAAGCTAAAAAGTAATGATCCACAGTTCACGGGGAGTAAAGGGGTCATTTCCTTGTAAAACAATGATAACTTAAAATAATTGGTTATAGGGTAATCGAGTGTTCTTTCTGCCAGGTTGATTTTGAACTAAGAGACCCAACTGTAAGGTTTGCAATAGTACCAAATGACAATAGCCATAATGTACATTTGCATAGTGTTTTTAACTTTTATAAGATCTTTCCATCTATTTTCTCATGTTTTATTACATAATTTCCCTGAAAACTGCTTAGAAGTAATTTCCTTCAAGTTCTGAAAAGTGTAATTTTCTTTTTTAGGAGGAACAAGTCTAAGTAAGTGTGCAGCACCTTGCTTTGTAAGTACAGATACGTCCTTGAAAAAGCTATATTATGTGTAAACATAATTGTGTAAGGCATATATTATTTTAACAGGCTTGGGAAATTTGTAGACTGACACCTTGCATAGGATTTTGTAATACAAATCCTTTCTCATTGATCTGTTGTTTAGGTTTTTAAATATCAAGTTTTTAAAAAGTGGAGCAACATGGATTAGATTCCAGGATTGGTATTCATTCTCCAATATGCTATAAAGATGGCATTTAACTTGGTCTGAGGAGAGATTACTGTTTTGGAGATCTGTACAGAAAATATATAGCTTTGTAACTTCACCATGGAGTGCTTGGAAGCTGGCTACCTTTCCCATAAAAAAGGAAGTTCAGGAAGGGACAGAGAAATCCAAGTGTAACAACTGAACTATATCTAAGTGGAATATCTCCAGATTGTCTGTGAGTCACTGATGTGTCATTAATGTGTTACTATAAATAACCAGCCATTGATTACTAATCCATAAAAGAGGAGCTGATGGTTGGGGTGTGAGGTTAACAACATTTGATGTTGACCTGAGAACACTCTTACGTAAACAAGTGCCATACCCTGGGACTAGAGCTTCAAAGAAATTAGACTGAATTACATTTTAAATAAAAATAAATAAGACCTCCTGTTTTTTATTATTCCCCATATCCAAACTCTGGTAGAAGACAGATCTTTAGAACCAACAATAGGACTGTGACATAATTGCTCTGGACTTGAACTCTCACAACTCTCAAATTAAGCTTGTAATATCTATCATTAAATATACAGTGACATCATGGGAATGTTATAGTGTTTTTCTGGGGAGTTTTTGTAGAAGAATAACTGGCACTCTTGAGAATAAAAGGGAAAAGCTCTTTCTGGAGGGGTTGGGAAGGAGTGATTTAAGCTGGGTGGACTAGAAACTCTTCATTGTAAAAATGGGGAACTCCTTAATATTGGCCTGACTCAAGAAAATCTAGCTTAGCTCCCTGTTTTTATTGGTTAGATCTCAGCCATATATAGGCTTGTATCTCAGATGTTCATGAGGAAAAATTCTTAAGCCTTAGGAAGTACTTCATAATATTCAACAGTTAAAAGTCAAACCTGTATAAAACAGAGCTAAACTTAACAGAGCTAAACTTAACCTATAGGAATATATGATTCATGTGTGTTGAATGAACAAAGGCTACACTGTTGGTAAATCTGCTAGTTATTATACCATCCTGGTGTGTGTGTATGTGTGTGTGTGTTTATGTGTGTGTGCGTGTGCGTGCAGGCATGTGCATGCCCAGGAGTGTGAAATTTATTGTTTCAAATTATTCAATGACAAAAAATAATGAAAATATTGTTTTTATCTGTTGAAATGTTATTCTGAAACCTTACATGATTTTATGGCTTTTAAATCTTATTTGTAAAGTTAGGACTGGTGATGGGAATAGGATAAGAAGCTGTAAAAAAAAAATCACAATTTGGTCACAAAAAACATTCTGAGAAATCCAAATATCCTAGCTATACAACACAGGAACTATACCTCCAAATATTGTGACCAAGAGTACACTGAATGAGCAATTGTTTTTTTTTTTTTTTGGGAAAAGTGGGTAAATGGAACCAGGAAGTCTCCACCAGTTACATCAGAACCTTGGACAGCTCCCCAAAGGTGTGTTTTGCTTTTTGCTTTTGTTCCCTTCCCCTGCGGCCCCCCCCCCCCCCCCCCCAGTTCTCTAAGTGGTCCTTTCATCCCAGTGAGTGTGCTGAAAATCCGATGATGAATCTTTCCTCTCCCCATCACCCATTATCTTTTAATCTCTGGGCTTCCATTCTACCCATTTTCCCAGCACCCTCTAATTAGACAAGGGACTGTCTTATGAACACCTGGTATGGATGTTTTCACTCCCACTTCCAATTGGTTGGGAAGCAGCATTTGCCACAGGCACTGTATAGTTTCATTTCCATCCCCTGGTCTCACAGGAAAGAAATGGTCAATAGTTCAAATAAAAGAATCATCCTTGTCAGCTCCGAAATATGGCTACTTGCATGGTCATCACAGCAAGTCTGTCAAATCAGTGATTTCTTTATTCCTAAAAGGAAGGGGCTTTTCCTAAGGATTATGGTTCTACCACCCAAGGAGCAGCTCTACTTTCCATTAGTAGCTGCAAAGGCTGGCAAACCAAGAGGTCTGCTTTGGCTCAGAAACTCAGTTTGGCTCTTGCCACCCTGGCACCCTTGCTGCATGTCTCAGTGGCACGTGCTCCACACACAGCTGGCCAGTCTGCTTCTACTTAGGAGGTATCACAACCAGAGGTGGTCCTCGCTTGGGCCTCCACATGAGGACCTGGGCATCGTTGGCATTGGGTTTCACTAGTGCATTAGGGGGAATGGGCTCCATCCGGCTCAGAATCCGAGGCTGCTCCTGCTGAGTCCTGCCCACCAGCCGGGCCCGTTGCCCCAATAACTGAAGAGGGTCCACCTCAATGTCTACTCTCATCCTCCACTTGATGGTCTGTAGAATAATCTTCTCCTTTGTGGTGGTGTTCATGGCTACCAACCAGGTAGTGAAACTTTGGTCCCTCTTGATTCTTGTGAGCAGTGGTACGTTGCTGTCACTCACTGGTACAGCCCATGTCACACTGGGGTAGAAGTTGTCATTCATGCTGACGGAGAACCTGGAGATCTTGTTGGTAGGGCCAACCAGGGTCACAGTTTCAGTGGTGTTTCCATACCAAGGGTAGCTCACCCCATCTGAGTCACTGATGGCTTTTACTCTCCCTTCCCTCAAGTCAGGCAGTTCCCAGCTTGACCTGGCAAAGCAGAAGAGATGCACAAGAAAAGAAGAGGCTGAATGAATTTTTCAAAAGCTGGAGATGTGCCCACCACTTACTAACACAGACAACTTGGGCAAAAGGAGATGTTCAGAAAGGGGAATTCAGGCCAAAAAGTTCTATGCTGTGATGTTTCTGGATTAAATGAGAACAATTCAAACAGAAATAAAAATAAAAAAGCAATGCCAAAACAAGTTAAATAAAACCATAGCTGACCCAGTTGAAAGCAGAATGCTCAGAGCAGCAGTTGTGAGATCAGAATGAGGCATCAGCCAGTTGGGATGATGGTAACCAGAGACGAGAGGCAATCCATTGCAGAAATCACAGTTTGGTGGGGGTGGGGGGGAACGGTGGTATGAGTATTTGTATGGTCTGCTTTTTAGGAAGAAGTGGTGGTTGACATGTAATCTACTCGAAGGAGGTACCAGGTGGAAATGAAAACAAAAGGAGATGAAAAAAACCAAAGGATATATATTAATTTCTTAGAAAATCACAGTAGCAGAACTTCTGCTCAATAAGTGTTTTATATTCTACTCATCAGTCAATCCAGCACCTAGAAAACATAGACATAGAGAAAGAGCCTATAAGGGCAGACTTCTAGAAGCTACTGCCTAACCTGTGAACTTTGCACTACAGACCAGCAGATGTGGCCGCTGACACACTGAGCTCCTAGTGGCTTTTAGTCCAGTCTGGAAGCATAGTCGCTTGATATTCTGGGAGCCTTCCCACTCTTCTTGGATTTCCCCTAACCTTATATAAAAGAAGGAGGGAGCAGGATATATGGTCCACTCCTAGTCCATGTTTCTTTCCCCCTCATCATAGACTGTTGTATAATGATGATGATACTTGTGGAGTCCTTACTCTATCCAAAACCATTGTGATAAGTACTTTGTTGCCTCCATTCAAGTTTAGAATATAATTGGCTTCTATTTCCACTTAAAGATCTTAAAGTATAAGTCAAGTGTCTGACAGACTATAAGAGGTAAAGCTGGGAGTTGGCTACAAATGCTATGCTTCTGACTACTATATCTCACTGCTTCCATGAATCATTAGATGGTATTGGAGGAAGCCAGCGTGTAGGAGACTCAGGCTGTTCAGTGAGCTAACAGCAACTAGGGTAGCCACAGGGAGCTGGATTGGGACCGAGTAAGGACATTCTCCATATTTCCAATTCTGGAACCAGAACTGATGCATGGTAATAATGTCTACGATTTTAATAATTAAAGAAAGAAATGTGACTGTTTCATTCATCAGCTGAGAGATAGTGCCTATTTGGTTTGAATTTTTTTTCTCCTAGGAAGTGATACAAGATCTTTCAAGGCTTTATCCAAATGGCCAAAAAGGGAGTTACATAGTCAAGGTGATGTTGATAACATATCAGCATCTTTCATCCTTGCTTACCATCCCATGGTAAGCACCAACGTTTGCTTGTGGCTGTCCCATAGCATTTCCTATTCCAGCCATCTCATTATAAGTGAAAGGGGAGCTAGACTGTCTGGGAAGGAAGTGAGTCCACAGCTGCAAGAACCTTTTCTCTTGTCTTCATACCCTTGAAAACTGCTGGAATATAGCAGATGGTGGTTGAAAAAAAGCTAAGAAACAGGAATTGACCTGCTCCAGAGCCAGAGAGCTCATTTTGATGCATATGCTAGTTGGCCGTGCAGCTTCCAGATCATTTTATAGCACTTCTTACTGAACAAAGGGGAGTCCATGTTATTTGAATGGAAATTATCATACAAACATCAGAGATTGTGGAAACCAATTTGCTTATAGGGTTCACAGAATGGCCACACTGGAGTCATTGAGCCCCAAGCCAAAGGGTTAAGACATTCACCAGTTATCAGACATTTGCTTTCTGTGTTTCCCAAACCATTTTTAATTTTGGTTAGGGACCAAGCCCTCCCAGCCTTTGTTCTTCTGTGTGACTAAAGGGCAGGCATTCATGGCATCCTTCACACCGTGCCAACTGTGAGGACTGTGCCAACCTAGGGAATACGGTTTTAAGTGGAAGTACTTTTTATTCTATTTATTCTGGCCAATTTGATTACTTTATAGAAAAGTTACTGTTCCTTCCCAGAGCCATGAGCAGAGACTTGGGTCAGAAGGTCAATAAAATGGTTTGGTTCATGTTTTCTTAAAAACATGGAGATAACAACAACAAAGGAACATTATCATTTCTATCTCAGGAGAGAAGTTGGAGACCCTTTTCTTTGTGGAGTCTCAGGAATAGACAATCTATACTTTTATTTTTGGCCAGTCATGGGGCTTGAACTCAGGGCCTAAGTACTGTCCCTGAGCTTCTCTTTGCTCAAGAATAGCACTCTACCACTTGAGCCATGGCTCTACTTCTGCCTTTTTTTGGTAATTTATAGGAAATGAGAGTCTTATAAATTTTTCCAGCTGGGCTGGCTTTGACCCACAGTCCTTAGAGCTCAGCCTCTTGAGTAGCTAGGATTACAGGCATGAGTCATCAGTACTTGGTGTTTTAGTAACCTTCTTAGTTATCATAATGCAACAAAGACTTCTGGTCAAGGAAATTTTAAGCCTAGAGTCCTTGGGCGGTGACACATTGTTTTCTTCTACATTTACTCTCTCTTCTGTGGCTGCTGTTTTAGAATCACTTCACTCCTGAGGCAGATTCTCTTCCACGGCCTGTGGGATTCAAAGTCTATACAGTTAAGGGATGGCCTGATCTACAGTAGTCAAAACTCATTAAGGCCTGATCTACAGTAGTCAAAACTCATTATGACTTGACTTGGGCAGGAGTGGTTTCCTATCAGAGAAGTATGTTTTTAGTTCTTCTGGAAATAGTTGTGTTTATTCCAAGGCAGTGGATTTATTTTCTAAAGAAAAAGAAAAAGTTATGCTCAAGAAAAGGCTGGCTGGTTTAGGTGGTTGATAAAATGGTTTTGATAGTGGTTTCTTAGAAGTCCTGAAAAGTTCCAAGAATGGTAGAACTGAGAGTCCCCCAATGACCACATGAGAGAATTGCTGTGAATAGGGTGCCAGAGGCACTTCAGATTCCATTTCACCCACACTGAACTTTTATTCCTAACATAAACCAGGACCCTTACTGCTACATTCAATCTTCCAGGCCAGAAATGAGGGCCAATTTTAACTCTTCTCATTCCCTTACTTAGACTTTTACTGGCAACATCACTGCATACTGTGAATTTTTGTCCCATAAATAATGCTTGCATTTATCTCCTTTCCTCTATCTAATCCTTACTACCACTTTCATTTAATCTATCCTCAAGTCTCTCTTACCTAGTCTACTGTAATACATAATCAATAATAGATCTCTCTATATCTAACTCTGAGTCTTCTTCAGGTCATCCCTTAGGCCGCACAAGTACTGAGAAATGCAATTTTGCTCAGGCGCTTTCCATACACAAAATCTTTCTAGGGTTCCTCTACATGGAAATCACTGATATCCCCCATAGACTAAATTCAAGTTCCTTAACAGGACAGACATGGCTTTCCAGGATCTGTCTTTCTCTTCCAGGCATCATGTTGTTTCTCGCTTTGGCCCCATTTGCTTCTTATATCATGTCCTGTGCCTACATAGGTCTTTTCCTAATAAAATTTCACTGTTCTCTGAAAATCATCTCACCAGTCAGCTCCTCTGGGAAGCCTCCCTTCCACTTCTCCATGAATAGGCTCAGATCTACAGAGTTCAGCTTATAACTTTTTGTTTATGTGTCTATTTTCCCCATTAAATTAAGATTTCCTTGAATCTGTGACTTATTTTTTGAATTTTTATTGTCTAGCACATTGCTGGTACACAGTCAAACTTAGTAAATATTTAAATATTTCATTCTATATTCCTGGAGTTTGGTAGAGCTTGCATACAACAAAGGCTTTTTTAAAAAAAAATCACAGCTTCACACTTTATGTATTTTCTCACCTTTAAACAACTCTAACCTCTATTATCACTTAAAATCTATTATTAGGATAGCTCTAAGACTTGCAATGAAAGTTATTTTTCCTTAAAGGCGAGGCAAGACATGCTTAAATAAAACTAAATGAAAGAGTATTAATGTACTTCAGTGTTGATTCATAATTATTACATACCAACAAACAACAAGTGGCAGAGACTGCAAGTGATATAGGAATCCCAGTAACCTACACATCCACACTGGCTAGAACAGTGGGAAAGTTTCAGGGAGGAAATGGGTGCTTCTATCATAGGTCAAAGCATAACAATACACATGAAGATGTGACGTCTGGGAAACAGAGAAGAGGCAGAAAACAGAGAAGGGTTGGGTGGCAAGTACTGGGAAGAGTGACAGTAAACCAGTGAGACTAAGCATTCACTTGTGGAGCATCTTGAATTATGGGCTTTAGCACTTGGGCTTCATCTTGGAGGTAGTGGACTGTGCTCAGGAGATGATATCTTAGGAAGAAAAGAGATGTACAAAAGAGAATTCCAGAGCTAGAGGGAGTGAGGATATTCAGGCGCTCTTACAATAATCTTAAATAAGGCTTTCATTTAGGTTAGTGGTGAAGGGGATATAAGCACCATGTATAAGAGATACGACAATGTTAAGTGAGGTAAGCCAAGCTTACCTCAAGAGAGACAAACAGTGCATGTTTTCTCTCATATGAGGAAGCTAGACCTAAAATACATGGGGACATATTAAATCATACTGAACTCTAGGAATTCACACACAGTGATATCAAAGGAGGATACTCTTAGGAGAGGAACACAAAGGCACAATGCCTATGTGTGTCTGATGATACAAAATACTATTTATGGAAATGAACTCTAGGAAATGGAAACAAGAGGTTTTTTTTTGTTAAAAAAGAGAGATACTATAAAGCTAGACTCTGATTCAATGGTATCCCATTGAATCCCTGGAGTATGTATGTGTTTATAAGATCATTCACAGAAGTAGCAAGTTTGTGATCTCGTGTCTCTGACATTCTGTATGCATCCTTGACCCACAGCAGTGTTTCAGCTTGCAAACCTCTTTGGC